AAACCAAGCGGAGACACAGACTTGAGAGAATAAGTAGTTTAGTTGTGCGTGTCCCGCTCTTGCAGTCTGAGCATTTTCTGGAAATAATCTAGATGTTTAAGAAGTGGAAGGAAACTCTCAATGTATTTACTAACATGCATGCCTACTTAAATCAGGAATTTCACACTTTCGCTTAAGTCTGACATTTGCTTGGTGTGTGAGGGCACAGAGACGTGTATGTACCATGTGCTTGACTGTGTTTGTTTTGTTTGTTTGTTTATTTATTTATATGGGCATGGCCGAGCCTTGAGAAACATCAACAAAACCATTGGACTATTCTGAGTAAAGTAACCAATTCAAATTCAGGATCCTGAAACAATTCGGTTATAATCTCCAATTGATGAAGACCATCTTAAGAATCCATTGCACAAGGCATCGTCAGTGTTACTGGAACTGTTTTTAAAAAAAAACCATGCATGGTTGTATACTTTAGTTGAATCATTTATACTCATTGAATTATTGTTGTTTGCTTTATGTTTTAATTTCTGTGCAATTTTTTCTCTGTGACACAGGTGGAGATGCTGGTGGCAAAGTGGATCCCACTCATTTTTTCTCCCACACACACATTCTTGCTCTCTCTCTATCTCTCTCTGTGTGTGTATGTGTTTGTGTGTCCGTGTGTGTCCATGTTATGATGTCACTGTACCTTTAATTGCGCTTGCTGTTTGTAACTGTATGTGTCTGATGTTGAAGGTATCAGAGGCTAGGGTCAGTAAGAGTTAGGTCATTTTTGTGCATAACCATTAATCCCTAGGCGATCGGCTCGGGGGACGTCTGGTCCGGCCAGAGTGCGAGTCTTCCTGGTGTTGCACGGTGACCAAGGGTGAGGATGGAAAAAGATGAAGATTGGACTCTCATGGACTCACGTCGATACCTGAGATGAAGGCTAAAGGATAGTGTCGCTTCTCACCTTACTGGGACTAGTTTAACTAAATTAAGAAGAAGTTTGCTGAACTTGTACGGTTCTTGTCTTGAATGCTGCTAGGAACCATCCCTGATTAATTACAATGGGGTTTCTGCTGGAGGAGGTGAAGAGGATAACCAATGGACAAGCATAACAAGAGGACAACGACATCACCACAATGTATCATCGTTTTATAGGCCACCCGACGACCGCGACACCAATAGAGGAATTGTTTACAATGAAAGATGAGTAAAATGCAACTACTCTACACCCTAGACTGGTTTCCATACCTGCATTCACGTCATTATAGTCACATCTGTAGATGCATGGACTTGACTAGTCTCACTAACCATACAATGACGGCGTCACTTAGCTGATGTCTAATTACTTTTGTTCCAGTTTTACAACTTTGATTGTTTTATTTGTCCGGGGGAGGTTATAGGTTTAAGGTGTACGTAAAGCTTTTGCATGGGCCGGAGGGGCCAGGCAGATCTGAGGTAATAAAGAGACAAATCCTGACAGAATATAGCATGTGTGTATTCCTGGTAAACTACCAATAATGGGCCCAGAACTAACATGTTTCTGGATAAGTGCTTAGAGCACATTAATGACAATGTTATAGGTCATAATGCTGCGGATTAATTCCTCGTATGCTGGGGATTCAGAACTACTGATGATAGGCGACCCAACATATGAGTTTACCATATATTCTTAGGTTTCACATCATTTTTGTTCCCGTTTGTGTCTGAGTTCTTTAACTTAATGTGATAACATAACCATGACTGTTAGTACTCCATTTCAGGTGCGACAGATCTTCTGGTGGGTGCTGGATGTCATGTTTTGACTAGTGTTTTCTTATAGTGATGGGCTAGCATGTGTTCATTTTTGAGGGTGTGTGGATGTTGCATGAAGGGTTTTTAATGTGGCTTCGAAGGTTGAGGATCAGAATAGGTGATTCTGATTGAGTTTAGGTCGAATTGGCTGGATGACTTTTAAATTTGGTTCTAAGGACTTATTTCTGGTCGTTTTACCGAGCGGCCATTTACATTACTCCTAGTTATCAAGAAAATCAGGTGAGTTTTGCTTTTACCATTAGCCCGTAAATGTTTGAGTGAATCATTGCATGCCGTGCTGGCAAACTAGCTCTTTACTTTAGGATAGTGAGTAGTATAGAAAGGGGGTGTGAATGTGGGGATGGATGCTTTGTCTATGGGTCTAATATTTAGGAAGTTTTTGTGGTAATAGGTTTATAGGCAATTGGCGTGCTAATTCAAGTTTTCTTGTTGACATGTTGTGTTTTGCTCGCTGTGGGGAGGATGGAGTCGGCACCGCCTCGCTGCACGAAGATGGACAAAGGGAGAACTGAGCCAAGGACTCATGCCTTTGCTTTCCTGACAAATAAAGGACACTTGTCCACATAAAGCCCTCCTGCAGCAGAAGGCCTCCAACGCCGACATGGATGCTGAACTTGTATTTTTCGTTTTATTCTTTTGAATGAAGTTTTCAACCGGACTTATTACTGTTTCATTATGTCTTTGCTAAAGCTAATTGTTCATTATTCATTATATTTGTCACCTGTTTATCTTTGTGTGCTTTTGTTGATTTGTGTGTTTTTTTCTTTTGATCATTGACGAGGACATGTGTCACCAATGTCCTCGCATGCCCGCTCTGTGCCGTGGTGTTCGTCCCTGGGGTCGGGGAGGACATGGAGGAATTTTCCCTGTTAAAGTACAGCGGACAGGGTTTTTCGCCTCCATACGGAGCGCGCATGCAATACATTCGTGAAGTAATGGGTTCAGTTAATGCTAAAGTCATGTTTCATGTATTGTTTCATAGTTTTTCATTGTCTCAGCTGTGAACCCATCAGTTGTTTTTCAGTGTCTTAATCATTGTTCATTACATATACGTGTTAACGTTGCTGTGTTAGTCTGGAACATCATCTCGTGTTTTGGCATGGGTTCTCCTTTATGCATTTTTTTGATTCAAGGTCATATGTTATGCCCTTTTGTCTCTATCCTCGGTCATATTGTTACATTATCATTATTTGTTGCTCATTTGTTCTGTTACTTAGTTAAGCATTCATTGCTAATTTGCTAATTTGTTTACGATAGTAGTGTGTGGTGGACAAGTCCACCAAAGGGAGGACTGTTGGTGCCAAAAAGGTCAAGAGGTCATCTACAAAATGTATTGAGTTAAAGCTGAGTTCTTAGGTTGAAAGTGTTTTCTGGCTAGAGTTCGTGTGCTGTTCCAACATCAGCTCCAAAGGAATTTCCTGTTTTGGTCTCTGCTTGCTTCCAGTAACATTGCTTAAAGCTTATCTGACTTGCTAAATACTTGATGTGATTCCAAAAGTGTTGCTGTGTCCCAGACAGAAGTCTCCACCCACAGTTTCCACAGAAGAGATGTGAGCTATAAAAAGGGGAACCACTCTTTTGTCGGGGTCTTTCAGCTGTCCTGAGATGTGAGAAGACAAATAAAAGACCACATTGTCTCGACTGGAAAAACTCTCTCAGACTCTTTTCTTTAAGAATAACAGAAAAAGCCCACACCCTGAGTGATTGTGGACAGAAGACGTCCAAATCCAAAGTGAACACACACCAGACAGACAAGAAGGTAATTTGCAGCAGTGGCAGACGTTCCAAACCCTGCAGCACACAGGTCAGCGATTTGATGGGCAGAAGCTAAAGAAATGCAGACGGCTATGATGAACAGAACCTGTTTCTTCACAAAGAGTGCAACACTGCCTATGATGAACAAGGCTAGAGTAAACACTGCCAGACCAGGAACCAGTGAGGCTTTCAGGTCTGTGAGCTGCAGCACCCCCTGTCCTACCAGAATGTAGCTCAGACCTGAGCCACACCACAGAGCAGAGACAGTGAGACACAGAGTGGAAAACAGCTGGGCGAGGGACAGGCTGTGACGGACACCTAGGAGGGAGAGATAGTCCAGTTAGCAGGCTGGAAACAGGAAGTAAATCACATTGGTCAGCAGAAACCTTCAAAACAAACCTGCATAAACTACAAGGACTGTGATGAGGAGCAAAACCCCCAGGGCAGTGTGGGGGATGAAGTCTTTTAGAGGAGAGCTGGCAGAGCCGTTCACCAACAGCAGGAGAGAGCCTAACAACACAGACAATATTGTGTGGGTTAGGGTTGGTTCAGCTGTTGAAAAACAATCAGAAAAAAGGCTAAAAAAAAGGCATCAGATGCTTCTAGACTTAATCATGCAGTACACTAAAGACACGTTTGCTGTGATTTATTGGTAACAGAACAAGATATAGGTGGAAGACCGGAGAAAGCCAGAGGAAGAGTTGCCTGGCTGCTTGTGTTTGTCTGGTCTGATTTGCACATATCAGTGCCATGTCTCATTTTTGGCTCCATTAGTGTTTTAAGGGTTTTAGTTTGAACTGTTTTAGATGGGAGAAAGCCATAATGCTTTTTGGCTTTTAAAACAGACGAGGGACCAGAGTGCTGGCTCCCTCTCAGCTCCAAACATTTGTGAGTATGGTCAGTAGACCTCTGTGACATGTGTGGGAGCTTTTTAGATGTCTGTTTTAATAGAAAAACTCAATTTTAATCATGTATAACTACCTGCCTTTTTAACACTGCTATTTAACTTTTAGACACTCCACGGTCAAAGATACTTAGCTACACGCTAACCCAAAGCTAACAGAGTTTTCCCGGGCATTTTTAGCAAGAAAAACTCTAAAGTGAAAGCACCTCTGGCCTGCTTAGTAATGAAATCATAACTAGGTAAGCTGAACGAGGATATCGGGCTAATACTCACAGTTCAGTGCAAACTAGATCTATTAAGCCTAAAATGATTTTTTTAAAACCAGGCTATTTATTTCTGCTGTGAAACTGGCATTTTTAACATGGGATTTGCTCACTTCTGGTGCGCACGCACACACACACACACACACACACACACACACACACACACACACACACACACACACACACACACACACACACACACACACACACACACACACACACACAGGTGACTTTATGACCATGTTTTACATGTTTAAAACACTTTATTATGTACACATTTTTAGAAAAGGTTGCAGGAAACACATTTTCATACATTAACAATATTAATATGAAAACAGGCATTAAACAATAAATATGACTCACACACACGAGTCATGTTTTTGTCTGAATTTTGTTACGATAAAAACAGAATTCAATACCAAAAGACAATCTTGAACGATAGAGGAAACATCAGCTTGAGGTAAACTCCAGAGGAAAAACATGACAATGTGTTTATTTCCAGTCTACACTAAGCAGATCATTTCAGAACATTAATATAAAAATAATATTATTCTTATTTCTATGCTGAAGGATTGTTGCTTTATTGTTCAGTGTTATTGATCACTGCAGCTGTGAGAGAAGAGCTCCACAATCATCCAGCCTGTCCAGCTCCTCCACCACCTCCACCAGCCGCTCCACCTTCTCTGATGGCAGCACCACCTCTGCGTTGCTTCTGAACTTCTTGCTCAGGCTCTCGTTTGTCAGCGGGTTGCGCCAGTGGCCGTAGAAGGTGTCACAGCGGCCCTTCAGGATGTCTCCTCCAACTAGAGTGACCTGGACGTCTCCGTACATGCGGTTGAAATTGGCGGGGTTGTCCTCAGGATGCTCCATGCGAACACGGCTCAGCAGGAAGTGCAGCTCTGGGCGGCTCATGGCGGGCGGGCTGAAGGACTGCACGGTCACCTCACCGTCCAGCAGAGCGCTGCAGGCGTTAAACTGGAAGGAGTGGCGTGCCTCGTGCTCTGACTCGGGAAAAGGCCTGTTGATGTATTTAGACTGGGGGACTCTGAGCAGGATGTCCTGGACCTGATGTGGGGACACCTGTCCTAGACCATGTCCCACAAGGAGCCCATGGACCGCAGCTGCAGCATCAGCTACCCAGTGCATCCCCAGATGGGCAGGAAAACGCTTAAAAGCCATGTCCTGCTCCTCTAACAGGAACACATGTCCACCATCATCAGGTGACTCTAAAGGCTGAGGAACATAATCTTCATAAAAGGCACTGAAGCCCGCCACTCCTGCAACAGCATCCAAGACCAGAGGACTGGCCTCTAGGCCTCTGGAGGCCAGCAGAGCAGCTTCAAGACCCAAACGAGAGGCGTTGCCGATGTGAAGGGGCTTGGACTGAGTGGCAGCATTAGCCATCGGAGCTCCAGCTAGAGAAGCTGCTATAGCCAAGGCATGACTGCACTGAGACGGATCCAGAGACAGGAGACGAGAACAGGCTGCTGCACTTCCCATAGGACCCACCACAGTGGGAGGATGGAACCTGTTCACACACACGCACGCGCACACACACACACACACACACACACACACACACACACACACACACACAGTTCAGTTAGGACATTTATTCTGTTGTAACTGAAACAATCACTGATCTGCATCACCACTTAAGAATGTTTCTATTGGTTGAATCTTTAGAACAAGATGAATTGATTTGACTCGTTTCAGGTCACCTGAGTTTCTAAAACACCCACCAGATGAAGGGTTTGGTTTGTGCTAATTCTGTTAACATTACACCAAGAGCCCCTGCTGTTCCTACAGTAAGCATCATTACACTGACATCACTAAAACAGCCTCTTACACCTCAGTGCTGAGATCAGCACAGTCAAACAAGGACGTCTTTAAACGAACGTGTTCATGAAGATCGTGCTAAAACCAGACTTTCTGGTTCAAGCTTGACTTGTGCTGTGAGGCACTGACCTCTTGGGAATGCTGCGTGCTTCATTAGAGAACCTCATCAGACGGCCCTGGATCTCAATGCCGACATTGAAGGCCAGTAAGAAGTCCAGACCGCTTGGTTTGCTGTTAGCCGGCATCATGTCACTGAGAGCAAACAAAGCTGGGAGAACAGCTCCTGAGGGATGAGTGGCTGGATGCCACGTGTCGTCAAAGTCCATGGAATGAGTCTGGAAGCAACCAGAGTTTGTGTCTCATCATACTGAAGCTGAAAGGAGTCAGAATAATAACTTTTTCTGTGAGGGTCATAACTAGATCAGAACCCAGCTATGAACACCTTGCCTGTGCCGTGTCTGAATGATCCACTTCTTTATGTTTTTTTTCTGAAGTGAACACTGACATGTTTTCTGTTCCTGGTGTGTTTTCAAAAGAAAAATGACTTTCATTCCTGAATCCAGCCATCGAGAGGAAGAAAGTAGCTTCTTTGGAAATGTTTGATGGGAAACTTTAAGGCCAGCTCAGCTGATTTTATTTCTATATCCTAACCCTGTGGTCTTTGGGAGCCACGCTGCACCAACAGCTGAGAAAAGCTGTTTATACAAAATGTTTCCACTGATGTTTATGTGGTTATTTATATATGGTTGTTTTCCACTTATGTTTCTCACCGCTACTCCATTAACGAAAGCTGCCAGTGTTGGGGAGAGTCTGATCCCTCTGCGTCCGTACACAGAGCTGATGTGATCCGGAGCATACATGTGCTAAGAACAAACACAGAAACAACCCTACATTCACTCATCTGTTCTGGACACATTTGGGTTGGACCTGACTCAGACTTTCACTTTGCCTCACCTGGCAGAACTGAAGAGCCAGCTCAAACACATCTGTCCTGCTCCCTATCAGTCCGACCCCGATGCTGTCCAGCACCATCCTTTTGCTGCGATGGAGCACAACCGGAGACAAATGCTGAGGCTTTATTTCACTGATGAACTTCCCAAAACTGGCTGTGACCGTATCTTCTGGGGCTGGGTGCTTCTGGACTGCAGGAATGAAAAGATAAAAGTTGTTTAATAAAGGTTATTAATTAAGGTTATTTTTTTTTTATCAAAGTCAGCATATCTGTTTACCCTCCACTGCAGTGTTATGCAGTCTTCTGGCAGCCCGCACTGGTCTGATGGTTTTCTTTGGGACAAAACATAAATCAGAACAAAGCATTTCAGTTATTTTTCACATCTCAGGATGACTACAGGCTGATGAGTTCCTGCATTTACTTGTTCACGTCTTTAATCTAATGTTTGTGTTTGAAAGAGCCAGTGTAGAGGTGTAACAGGTGTTTCCCAGCATGAGTGTTCTCCTCAACAATTAGCAGGAGTTATTTTATAGTTCCCTGCCTTGGCCGCACTACAAACCTCTACTTTTAGATATTTTTATGACTTCTTTATTTGAAAAGGACTTAAAACCATCACTTTTAGAGTCTGAAAACTGACTAAAAGCATAAATATGTCTGTAATCTTACCTGTAGCGTGGAGAACATGACTTCAACTTTCTGTCACAATGATCTTGTTTCTTGTTTCTCTTGGATGCAGCAGCTGAGCAGTGAAGGATGCTGATGCTTTTGTGGCTGAAAATCCACCTGCCTTATATAGTCCAGGACTTACAATGACCGGAAACACCAAAGGAGCAGGAAGGGCAGGTTCCTTTTGCAATCCTGCATCACATCAGAATGAGGCTTTTCCACCCGGGTCATTATCTGTGGTGTAACGTTCACCATCATCAATAGCCTTGAGGGGGAGGAAGGAGAAAGAAGGAGGAAAAGCCACTTTTGGGTAAAGTGAAAGGCAGTGATGTCACCTGTAAGTATGCTGCTGTGTGACAGAGTGGGGAATTCTCAGTAACTCCTCCTTTACACAAACAGATCATATTTAAGGCAAACCTTCATCCCTCCTTCAGCATAACTCAGCTTTCCATCAGTCTGAACAACTTCAACAGGTAAAACTTTGTTCTTTCTTTTATTGCTGACAGGAGTAAATATTTTGTTTCTGCATGTCACCCATCAAATATCCTTAAACCTATAGCTAGATTATTATATACTCTGCTTTGTAGATTGAATCAGACCTAAATCTGCATAAAGGATGCTCCCTGACAAGAGTTTATTTATAAATATTAAAACTATTATTGCAATATCCTGTAGTTTTTCAAAAACATGAAAATAACAGTAATGTTAGGGGTATTATTCTATTGATAAAATTGTTTTCATTTAGAATAAATTCTTCCTCTTCAGAGAGCCTGTTAGAGGAGCGTCGTAATAAATGACTTTTACATTAGTTACATGACAAGAGTGGCTCAGCTACTTATGACAGGCAAGGACCGTTTTATATTATATTATATTATGTTATATTATATTATATTATATTATATTATATTATATTATATTATGCTCAATCTTTCATTGGTTCCTTTTAAAATTAATATATTAATGTTGTTGTTGACGATTACCATTTTAGACTTTTATCATATGTTTGGATTGTCTACAGAAACACCATGGCAGCAGACGGGTTTCCTGCCAGTTTCTATGGAGAACCAGGAGTGTTAGGAATGTTATCACTCCAGGCAGCCTATGGATTCACAGCTGGAGGCGTTGCTTTACTGGTCAATAATGCCTTCCTCATGCTGATTGGTAAGGTCTAGTATCTGCTTTCAGCGCTGGAATTCACAGTTTTTATTCATTCATAATTTTGTACTTTTGTTTCTTCTATTAGCTGCTTATAGGAACGTGGTTCTGTTGTTTCTAAGAACAATCATGGAGGTTGTTCTTGTCTGCTTCCTTCTCTCCACCCTGCACAGACTTCCATACCAACTTGAAAGTGAGTTAAAACCGCCTGTTATAAACTTTATGTATTTACGATACTGACTCTCATCAGAACAAATAAAGTCTAACATCCAGAAACGATGTATTGCAGTTGCCATGCTTGCATTGGTATCCATCATTTGCTTTTATGGCACCTTGGCTTCACTGATGAACTGCATCTTCTCACAAAGAGTGATCCCAATGGGTCCTCCCATAATAAAGGTAATGACTGAAGTTTAGATTGGCCTACCTTTAAGAATCAGCGTGAATAATTAATAAAAATGTGTGTGTGTGTTTTGTTTTAGGAAAAAGTGAAACAGGAAGCTTGTGACAAGCCGTCCTGTCCGGTGGCTAGCTCGGGTCTCACCAGCGGTCTGTTGAAGATAGCTCGACTTCTCGAGGACGGGGGTGTGTGTGGTATTCCCACAGATACTGTGTACGCTCTGGCTGCTTCCTGCAAGAATCCTCAGGCGATAGAAAAAATCTACAACATTAAAGTAAGAAGATAGAGGAGGCTTGTTTAACAGCAATAAACATTTTCATGAAGTCACCATCTTGTTGAATTGGACCTTTTGCAGGACAGACCTGCAGAGAAGCCTATATGCATTTGCATCTCCAGTGTGGAACAGCTGATTGCAGCCAGGCCTCCTTTCAGCCCTCTGCTGTGGGAGTTCATGAGGAATGTGTATCCTGGAGGCATCAGCTGCATTGTCAGCAAAGGAGACTGGCTTTACAGACTAGGTCAGCAGTGTAGAGTGTTTGAATGTTGGGTGGCAGAATTCTGTATCAGTTTTCAGTTTTTACGTGAACTTTAACCTCATTTCTGTAGGAGTTGGACCTGCTTATGACCGTGTTGGTACCAGAGACAGCATCATGATCCGTGTCCCAGACCACATCGTGACCTGCCACCTATGTGACATCACTGGACCCCTGGCCATAACATCAGCCAATCCCAGTGGAGAATCAGACAGCACCCACCACAGCATGGTCATTAAGTAAGAGTCTCCTCAAAGAAGTTTAATGCAAACTAACAAACAACACATCTCTAAAACTTTTAGCACCATACACTAATTACTGTTTCAAACTGCTTCTTTTGCTGCAGTCGACTGGGACACAAGATCCAAGGAGTACTTTGTGATGGTGACTCGAATGAAGTAGTTGCTTCAACTGTGGTCAACTGCCTGAGGATTAATGAAGGTAAGGGGCCATGATTTCTTCCTACTGGGGCTGTTTAAGGTCACGTTTCTAACTGAAGCTCTTCTAACCTTCGTTCAGGAGTCATCACCATTGTGAGAGAAGGCTGTGTCCCTGCTATCAAAGTCCAACAGATCTTTGACAGACTGAAGAACTCCATGATTTGAGTGTCTCTTAGCAACGACTGTCTACCTGGCTGATCACGTTCAAGTCAACTTGTCTAACCCAAGCTGTGATTTGCTTTTCATACTGACAAACAGCAAAAGAGGGAAAAAAGAAAACTAAAGATGTGTGTTTATATGGATGTAACTTTTGTGTCTTAGTGGATGCATAGATAGAAAGCTAATTCAAAAGTCATCTTAAACTGCATGAACTCCATAATGTTTTGGACTATTTATATATTTATTGTTATATTTATTTTCAATATATATCAACACAAACACTTTGAATCTGTAAATAAATACTAATGCTTTTTAATTTATGATGTTTGAACTCATTGTAAAACAGAATGTCTTTGTGTGGTTTCTGCATTGAAGCTCTCTCGTGCATTAACTAATTTGTGCAATAAAAACAATTAAAGTTTACTAAGGCTTGCATCTTTAAATAATTACTAAATGTTTTCTAGATGAATGCATTCTCTCCCTCAATACATCTTTATTCAGATCTTCAGATAAATCAATAACAACAATGGTATTTAAAGCTTGACATAAAAATATATATTTTTGAACAATTACTAATTAAGCACTTGAAAGCGTCTAGTTATTTGTCAGAGGTCATTAGCAGCTCAAGAACTATGAAACAATTCAACCATATAATTTATTATGAGCTCTTTAAAGATGGGGATCCCTCGTTTAATCAATACATTTGCTGTGGTCTCTAGTAGTAATGAAGGCCTTGTAAGTCGTACTCTGGGGTAGAGCCCTGCACGGGCCTAAAATCTGAGCCCGTGTCCGGTCCGACCCGAGGGGGTGGAGCTCCAGCCCGACCCGGCCCGAAAAGGTTTTCAGGATTCTCTGGCCCGACCCAAGCCCGACTTTTTTTTTAACCAACTAAATGAAAACAAAGTGTGTCAATCCTGACCAATGTGTTAAAAGACATGCAGGATCCGATCAATTTGTTTTTCCCTCGTTTACCGTCACAGAGATAACGGCGCACTGGCTCTGGTGGTAATCAAGTTAAATTTTATCTCTTTCCAACAATTTTCACAAGAAAACAAAACAGTCAAAATCAGGGCTTGTTTTGACCGGATAGTTCCCGTATTTTACCGTTTACTTTGACGGAGAAAGAATAGAAAGAATTACCCCGACGCATGCAGACGAACTGACATTTTATTTGTTACGCACATTGCAGATGTAGCTAAATCACCCAAGAAAAGATTCCCATCTGAACATCTGAGCTGCTCAGCGCAGCTCGCTGTCAGCGCATATGTGCACAGCGAGCTGAAGTTGTGGAGATTGGCTTGGAGCGCGTTGCAGAACCAGAGCGCATGCGGGAAGATTCCTCCCACTGAAGCAAGTGTTTTCCAAACACTGTCTCAGAGAGACTTGTCACTTAGAAAATGTTCCCTGATTATGAAACTTTGGCTGAATAGTGCTTGTTCCTGTCTCCAATGAGGCGACACATCCAGGAGCCGTCTGAGGAGAAGCCCAGAATCTCACATCTTCAGCTCAGACAGCGCATATGATTACGCACAAGCGTGACCCATCAACCCGGTCTCACAGTAAGACCGGGTTGGACCTGTTCAGGTTTACGCAGACAGTCTTTATATAGAATTGACTTACAGATATAAAATTAATTCAGTAAAATATAAAGCATTTTATTTAAATATCCATTCATTATGTTACAAGCACAGAGAGCCGCATCAGATGGATGGAAGAGCCGCGGGTTGTGACATGTTTTCTCCAGGACCAGAGAGGACGCAAACTCAATACATCTCTTTTATTGTGAGGTAATAATTTCTCCGAGTTTTGCGGTTGCGGGCGGGAGTAGACATGCACGCTACGGGTGCAGGCGGGAGTGTTACACACACATTGCGGGTGCAGGCGGTAATGGTCAGAAATTCAGCGGGAGCGGGCAGGAGCGGGATGAAGAAAACAGTCCTGCGCAGGGCTCTACTGCTGTGTTTGTGTCTCATTTTTTTTAATGAATTCGATTAAAAATAAAGGCGCCCGGTTCGGCCCTTGTCCGAGGTAATTACACAGTCATTGGCCCAAAGCCCGGCCCGAGGGCCGTCGGGCCGGGCCGACCCGAGGGCCTAGGGCTTCAGTGCAGGGCTCTACTCTGGGGAAACAGAACTCTGGAACAGATTCAGGAAGTAGAAATGAGCCGCATCAGAGTTGAGGATTGGCCTGAAGTAGCTAATGCTAATGGTTAGCTTATACTGTTGGACACATTGTCTGCTGTTTCCTGGACCCTAAACCAACAACAGCCTTCCCTTTTCTTTTCTTTCTTTGAATATATATTAGAGGTGGGAAAAATGATCGATTCTAAGATGCATCGCGATTCAGCCGTGCATGATTCCGCATCGATGCAGCAACGTGACATAATGAGATTCTCTCCCTATGTCTATGTCGGGGGTCGGCAACCGCGGCTCTGGAGCCGCATGCGGCTATTCCATCCATCTGATGCGGCTCTGTGTGCTTGTAAAATAATGAATGGATATTTAAATAAAATGCTTTATATTTTACTGCATTAATTTTACATCT